TTGTTATAATCCATTCTTTGATCTGTTACTAAAAGTCTTTGAAAAGCGCAGAAACTGGCAGTAGTTTCTCATTGCTTACAGAACTAAGTATCAATTTGTTATTTAGTACCTGCTACAGTCTAGTCCAAACACACCATTTTCAGGATTTTCTCTAATTATGCCTTATATTTCAACTAAAGTGGTCTGCTTCTTAAAATTGCTTTAACATGCTATAAATTTCCTACATTGTTTTCATCAGGATGTTTCTTTGCTTAGTTAAATTATTGGGAAGGTGCTGATGTCTTTTATGATTATTGATACACCCAGATGCCACATCTATTTTCAAGCCTTTCTTGAGCCTCTAAATTAAAGCTATATGTGAATTTTTCAGTTTCTAAATTCCCAAGTGCTTTGTTTCTCTCTCTGATATATTTATCATACTGTGTATATATTTGTGCACATGTGCTTGTGTGAAGTACACTAGAATGAAAGCTCACTAAATGCAGATACTACATGTGTATCTTGCATGTAGTAGGTACTGTAAAGAATTGGTTAAATTAAACTGAGAAATAGGACAGCTAAAATAATATAGTGAAGAGAGTGAGAATTTATATTCAGAACCGAGAAAATACCTTTTTTTAAAAAAAAAACAGGTCATTCATAAATATAGAAAGACACATTTTTAAGGGATTATTTATTGAGGCAGAACCTAGATTGCAAGGGATTAAGGAGTGAGGGCATACTGAGAAAATGGAGACTGAGGATAGACAATTTGCTGAAATGTACAAGTAGGCTGAGCTCAAAATGAAGTATGGTCTGCAGATTTGGGAAGAGTCTTGTGAAGAAAAAATCGCATGTAATGCTTGAAAGAAAAATGAATATGTTCTCAGATTCAAGTACCTTGATTACTTCAAGTCATGTACTGTATTTCCATTTTTCACTTTGGCAGACAAATGTTTCATATGAGTCAGGCTACTGAAGCTAATACTCATCACCAAAATGCTGCAGTTACAAGGTTATAGTTATGTGTGTGAATCACAAAGAAAAAAGCCTACAAACAGAATCCTTGTTGGGCACTGTCAAGGCTAATGTCCTGGAATCAGTTGAGTTTATATTCCTCTGTTCTAGATCTGTCTGGTTAAATTACTTAGAGAGAAGAGTTACTGAGCCAACCCTGTATGTATTTTTAGAGGGTCTCTCTCCTTTGAATGATTGCAGATGTAATTTGAAATGAAGTACATTTTGAAATTGTATGTGCATTTGAAATGGAATCACTAGCTAAACTAGGTAATTTTCAAATATATTTTAAAAGGATTAGTACAGATCCAGATAAAATCACTTAATATAAAGAATAAAAATACTTAATGAAATTGTGCTCTATACTTTTTTGAGACAGAGTCTCACTATGTAGTTGAGACTAACCTGGAACTCACTATGCAGCCCAGGCTGGTCTCAAACTCACAGCGATCCTCCTACTTCAACCTCCCGAGTGCTGGGATTACAGGCATGCACCACCACACCCGTCTTTGCCCTATACTTCTTAATAATGTATCTTTTCTATTTATCTCTAAACAAAGGTTTTGAATTTATATAGTGATATCCCAGAGCTCCTGAGATAAATGTACCTATTAGATTTAGTTTCTTTTTAAATCTGTTACACTCAAATGTTTTCTTAAAGATTTTAAGCAACACAGTGTTGGAATAATTCTGTGTGTCTTAATTTCATATTCAAGACTAAGACTAAAATATTTTAAAGAAAACTTTAAAATATGAATCTAATGTGTGCATACACATGCATGTATAAACTTTTCAGTCAATTTTTCAGCATTCATCTAAATGCTATGTGGATTTCACATAACTAAACTACTCATTTCAGAAACCTATACTACATCAGAACTAAAACAATTCATTCAGGCTAAGAATTTTAAGGTCCCTGATGTTGCAAGCCATATATCTTGACCTTAAACCTTATAAAGTCCTGGATATTTAAACATCTCTGACATTGGGAGCAATTGAGGAATAGATTTCATGAGATTCTCAAAATAGTATATGACCATCAAAAATTTAAGGACCACTAACAATCTAAATAGTGCTTTTCAGAGTGTGAAACTGTTCTGAGACATGGTGGTTAAGTGGTTGGCCAAGAATAGTGCTGCTAGCTCCATAAGGTGAAGATCCTGGTTTCTTGATTTCTGGCTATTTCCCATTTAACCATGCCAGTGGAAATTTCAGGTTTTCAAAACTCAGCTCCCACCAATTGTTTAATGATTGCTGTTCCCTTAAGATGTAGCAACCTTAAAGAAATGTTTGCCTCAATATCATAATGAACCTTTTAATGGGAATGGGATACAATATGTATTATGTAAAATAACACAGAACTCCAGAACGCTAACAACTTTTTTTATTTTTCCTTATTTTTGTTTCACTTGTCTTCCTACTCATCTTACATCAACTTTTAAAAATTTTATTTTGTATATTCTAATTGTGGCCTCTCAATTTGATTAGAATAATTCAGTCTTTTAATCATTCTCTTTCCCATCCACCCATCCATCCAACAAATATCTTCTGAATGTCTGCTCTAGACAGCTATCTTCCTGGCTGTTAGGAATAGAACAGTGAAGAAAACCAACATCCTTCTCTCAACATTTTCTTCCTTTCTTGAAGTTTGAAATTGTAGGGAACACAGATATTCATCAAACATTTACTAAGATGTATAGGAACACACTGGTAAGTGGAAAGAAAGTAAAGTACAGTACTGTGAGAGTAGCTCCTGGGGGCACCATATCCAATTGCGTTTCCCTGGGGAAGTGTATTCTGTTGAGAATTAAAGTTGAGAGGGTGTTTGGCAGAACCATGCTCACTGCAGAGGTCCAGGTTATTTAAGAATCGCAAAGTACTGTGTATAGTTGGACGAGGGAAAACAAGGGGTAGATTTAGAAAGGAAAGCTTGGAGGAGTCAGGGCTTAGCTAGATCATGTGCCAACCTGAGGCTATGGTAAGGTATTGATCTTTTTCCTGACAGCAGTGCGGAACCTTTGAAGGATTTTTTTTTGTTGTTGTTCAGCTTTAATTGAGTTTATTGGTACATTTTAGGGATACAGTACAGTTACATTCATTGTTGGGATCTTGTACCTCTACATGACAGGTCTTGGTTCTCATTTTTTCCCCTTGCCCTTGCCCTCCCTTCACCTCCTCCTCCCCTCCCCATCTACAAGCACTTTATTTCCATCTTTTCTTTATCTCACATTTTTTTTTCTTTTCCCTTATTACCCTTCCTCTATCCATCCCACCTTCCCTAAACCTTTAGTCCCTTCCCATTTCACAATGTCAGTAATCTTATTAGGATCTTATGTATTATTGCAGTTTATTCACACCAGAGAAACTATTCAGTATTTACACGTGTGACTTATTTATTTCACTTAGGAGTATAGCTTCAAAATGTATCCCATTTTCCTATGAATGAATCTATTTTCTCATTCTTTATGGCTTCCATTTTATAGGAAAACCACATCTTCTTTATCCAGTTTCCAACTGATAGGCAAATGGGCTGTTTGCAAATTTTAGCTATTACAAACTGTGCCGCTATAAACATGGGTGCACATACATCACTGATATGATTCTTTTAGTTCGTTTGGAAAGATACCCAGCAGAGGGATGGCTGGGTCAAATGGAACCTCCAGTCCAAGCTCTTTGAGGTATCTCCATATTGATTTCCATAGTGGTTGTACCAGTCTGCACTCCCACCAACAATGGAGAAGGGTTCCTTTCTCCCCACAACCCCACCAAAATTTGTTGTTGTGTGATTTCTTGATAGCAGCCATTCTTTGTCGGGTGAGGTGGAATCTCAGTGTTGTTCTCATCTGCATCTCTCGAATGATCAGTGATGTAGAACATTTTTTCATATATTTACTTCCTGCTTTTACTTCTTTGTCTGAGAAATGTCTATTCATTTCGGATGCCCATTTTTGAATCAGGTCTTTATATTGGGGGATTAAGCAGAATGACAGAGACCATTTTCTGCACTTTGGTTATTAAGAATAATGATGCTATGAATATTTTTGTACGCATTTATGTACATTTTGGTTTTTTGACCCCTGTGTACATGTCTATATTTCTCTTGAGTGTATGTTTGGGAATGGAATTGCTGAGTCATATAAACCCCATTATTTATCTGCTGACAAATTGCCAGAGTGTTTCCCAGAGTGACTATACCATTTTTACAATCCTACCAGTAGTATATGAGTTACCCAAGTTTTCCACATTTTACCAACATTTGCTATTTTGTTTTGATTACGTATGACCACCCTAGTGGGTATGAAGTGATATCCTTTTATTAGCAAGGCTTTTAAGCCTAGTATTTAGGATGCACTGGGTTTTAGTTTTTGTTTATCAATCTATTTAGTTTGAATAAACTGCTTATTACTCAATAGATACGCCCTATCCATTCTCAAGTTCTTTATTTTTATTTCTTTATCTTTTGTTTTTATTTGTGGTTTATAAAGCCTCAGTCTAACCTTTGCAATCTTTAGACTCAAGCTCAACTTATTTTCTTAACTTTATTTTATCCTGTTGATATTTGAGCCTTTGACCTATGAAAACAGCAATTAGAAATGTTTAAACTTAACACATTTCTTTGCTTCCTTAGTCATAATTACTACAATTTCCCGAAAGCTTTTTCTCCTATCCCTTGTTTGTACCTCTCATAGTGTTACTGATGTGCTTATGTGATACAATGTTTTTTTATTGGAAAGAAATTTGAAGGGTAGAGGCTGTTCCATGGCCCAGTTTGACTTGTTAATTACTATTAAGAATGTGCTAGATAAAGATTCAGTATAAACAGTAATGAATCAATATAAATAACTTACAGAGATTCTTCTGTAATTTATATTTGGATACAAGATTGAATAGGCAATATAATGGCAATGGAAGTTATAGTAAATAATAGAATTATAAATAAAATGTCTAAAGTTGTTCCTTAAATCTCCCACTTTTCAAACATACTGTGCTTTTGTATTTTGTAGTGCCTCCACTTCTCATTCAGAGAATTCAGTGCATACAAAGTCAGTTTCTGTCATATCATCAGATTCCATTTCAACTTCTGCAGACAACTTTTCTCCTGATTTGAGGGTATGTATACTCTTTTAAAGTCCTGTTGAAGTACTTTCTGGTAGATATTTACGGCCAGCACTATCAATATAATATTTAATTAAGAAGTATTGATGGGGTATTCTTAGAGACCTGTGCCTTTATAAAATATACCAGAACAGGACAGCCAATTTGAAAAGTTTACTTATTTGTAACAGAAAAGTATATAATTCATTCTTAAGTTGATACTTTTAAATTAGTTCTTTACCAAAATGTAATTAATGACTTTGTGGTATAAAAGATTGTCATAATTACTCTCATTAATAATGGCTAGTAATATAACTGATATTTATTGAATATTTACTGTGGACCAGTCATTGTTCTAACTGCTATACACAAATTATCTCAACATTTCTACCAATTATATCACTTTTCTACATATGATAGTAGCTCATAGATTAAGTGAGGTCTCTTAGCTGATAAATTGTATTGCCAGTGTTTTTGGCCGGTACAAATTCTGAAGCTGGCTCACTGTAGTACTATGTGACTTACTTATGTAGTACTATGTGTAGTTCCTACACATGTTATAATTTGTAAGTATTCTTGTATTTATTAATTTATGTAAAATTAACCACATTGGGATATACTCTAGTACATTTATGGATTCATCAGCTTTTCTATAAGTACTCAACATAAATGATGGAAATATGAAATTCATATGTGATGCTAACCTTTTACGCTAATTTTTTTAAAAAACAATAAACATTTTCATGGTTCTGGAAAGTGAGAAGCTCAAGATCAGGTGCTGGCAGATCCAGTGTCTGGTGAGGGTATGCCTAGTTTGTCTTCTTTTATCCATGTGACAATGAGCATGTCAGAGTACCTTTAGAGTACTTTTTGTTCCCACCAGACATCTGCATTTTCATTGGCTACACTTAAGCAATTTTAATTAAAACTTGTTTTCCTTAATGGAATCATTTATTGTTGAGCATATATTGAGGATGTATTTTTCATTTTCAAAACAAGTGCACACATACAGGAAGATAATATTAGTAACATCTGTAAAGTCTTTCTACATATTTGTTCTTTTGTGAAATTTCATAAAAAATTACATTGTAGCAAGTTTTTAAATGTTTCTAGAAATTATAAAGGCTTATCTTCATAATCTTGATGATAATCTTATAGTAATTATGATGGCTTCGTGATATCATTGGCTGTTATCTTGAAGTATAACATGCTTTTAGGACAGTGTTCATTCTTAATATCAGTGTGAATTTCTCAGACTTGTGTTTTGACGACTTGGTTAGTTTTGAAGAGTATTGGCTAGACTCATAAAATGAAGTTTTACTTATCATTAAACTGGGCTCATGTGTTTAGGAGAGGAAAACCCCAAAGGTAAAGTGCTATTCTTATCACATTATGTAAAGGTATATACTATCAGCATAATTTAGCACTGTTGATATTAGCCTTGATCACTTGGTTGATATACTGTAGGTTTATTTACTATAGAATAGCATGGAGGTTTATACAAATACACATATATACAACATATGTATTTAAGTTTAGAGTCCCAGATTCCTCTTTAACCTTGTGCTCAGGTGCAAATGATGAGAAGATAAAAATCAGAGAAACATGAAAAAACCCAATTGATAACTTTTGTTTTCATGATTTAAAAGAGATGTTTTGGAGCAAAACTCATCACCATGCAACCTCCACTGAGCTACAGCCTCAGATGCTTACAAGAAAAGCAAATAGTCCCTTACACCTGTCAGTGTGCTTTTAAAACAAGCTAGCTAAAGAGGTATACTTTGTTATTACAGGTAACTTTTTTCATTTAATTAAGGAAGTTAGTATTTCATCAATTAAATTTCAGATATTAAAAACTTAAAGTGTGAACATCATTATTTTGTGAATCAGGTCTTTATACACTTGTCTTTATTACACAAACCCATCAATAGCAGCATTCAGGCCATTAACTTAAACATTTAATGTTTGGTAACTAAAGAGTAGTTGTGAGCAGAATAAAAGACATGATTAGAGTCTCTAGAAGAGAAACAGATGAAAAATAAAAATAGATTAGTTCAGGACCATGATGGAAGCCACGAATGCTCAGTATAGGAAATAAATGGAAACCATGAACATGCAACATAGGAAAGAGATGGAATCCATGAAACAGATTCAAACTGATATCCAGGAGATTAAAAACTCTATTCAAAGTATACACAGCAGACTGAGCCAATCTGAAGACCGAATATCAGATACAGAAGACAAGATGGTGGTCAGTGACCATGAAAGAGAGATCTCTTAAAAATAGTAAGGGACCATAAGAAATCAATCCAACAGCTCCTAGGTGATGCAAAGAAGAATAATATAAGATTGATTGGAGTCTGCAAAAAAAGGAAGAGAAAGTACAAATGACATAACAAGTTATTCATAGAATTAATGATAGAAAACTTCCCAAGCAGAGCAAAAGAACTTGACATACAGATAAGTGAGGCATATAGGACTCCAACTAATCATAATTAAAAAAAAAATCTATACCTAGACATATAATAGTTAAGATTCTGGAAACCCAACGGAAGAACAAAATACTACACACAGAGAAAAGAAACAAATCACATGCAAAAGAAAGCCCATCAGAATCACAGCAGACATTTCAACACAAACTCTCAAGTCAAGGAGAACCTGGAGTGAGGTATTTCAAGCCTTAAAAGAAAACAAACTCCAACCTGGACTGATGTAGCCTGCAAAACTATCTTCCAAAATTGTTGGGGAAATAAGATACTTCCATGACAAAAAACACCTGAGAAACTTCATGAGAACCAAAGCAGCACTCCAGAGAATTCTAAACAATATCCTAGAAAGAGACAGTGAAGGTCACAACTCCATGAGGCCCAACCGATCAAATCCATCAGGCAAGGCAAGAAATTAGAGGGAAATGGGAAAAAATAAAAAAGAGCCAACAACAGGAAAATAACATGATGATGACAACTCAATACATATCAGTTATAACCATCAAGGTTAATCACCTTGATTCACCACCAAACAAAATAAATAGACTGGCAGAATGGATTAAGGAGCAAAATACAGCAATATGCTGTATACAAGAAATGCACCTAGCTCAAAAAGAAATTCATAGACTGAAAGTAAAAGGATGGAAAACAGTTCTCCTTGCCACAGGAACCCAGAAAAAAGCAGGGGTAGTTATCTTATTTGTAGATAAACTAAATTTCAAACTAAAACTAATTGAGAGAGACAAAGAAGGTCACTACATCCCTGTAAAAGGAACAATCCAGGAGGAAGAGATGATAATCATAAATATATGCACCAAATAGCAATGCCCCCAACTATACAAAACAAATAGGGACATGAAAAATCAAATAAGCATTTATACATTTGTAGTGGGGGACCTCAGTACCCCACTGTCACAAATACACAGATCATCTAGACAAAAAATCAACAATGAAATACTAGAACTGAACCAAGCTTTTGAACAAATGGACTTAATAGACATCTACAGAGTGTTCCACCCCACAAAATCAGAATATACATTCTTTTTGGCTGCACATGGGTCATTCTTCAAAATGTAGATGCACATTGAGGTCATACTCTTAAGTGAAATTAATAGGACACACATACCTAAATACTGAATAGTTTTCTCTGGTGTGAAAATATAAAAGTATAAATAAGGATCAAATTGTATAATTGATATTGTGTAATAAGAAAAGTTCTAAAGGAGTAGGGAAAGTGGGAGGGGTTGGGGAAAGATAAGAGGGAAAAGAAAAAATAGAAAAGGAAAAACATGGAAACAAAATCTTTGTAAATAGGTAGGGTAGAGGGGGTGAAAAGAGGGCATGGGAATGTGGAAAAAATAAAAACCAAGATATGTTATGTAAAGGTACAAGATCCCATTGATTAATGTAACTTTATTGTATACCTAAATTGTACCAATAAACTTAATGGGAAAAAAAGAGAATACTATTCCTCTATCACTGTGTGCTATTTTTTTCTTCAGAATGCATTTACTTCCCATCAACCACTCTTACAAAGTTATTTTCTACCTCCTTGAAGGTAGAATATCTATATACTATTTTGGAATTCTCCATGGGAGATTTATTTCTTCATCTCATTTATTGACATACTCAGACATTTTATTATTGATTAGTGAACATTTGTGTGATTTTTGTCATTGTTATAATCTAAAAAATGACTATTCCACGAACTGTTCAACTCTAAACTTGGAAATCTTTCAGTAAGAATTTTATTCTTTTGACATACTCCCATCATTATTTTTTTTAAGCACTTCTTTACGTTCTGCCATTATAAGGTTTTCATCTTGTATATTTTCTGATCCATTTCTAAATCATTGTTCATTTTTCCCAGGGAATTCTATTTCTGTTTTTTGGGAAAGGAAATCAAGAGCTTTTAGTATATGTACCTTTAACAACCCATACAGTGGTAGTGCTTTAGTTAATTATTAGTGGAACTAACTGTAGATAGCTTTCTGTTCCTTTTTAATAGTCTGGTTTGGCTTTATGTGTAGAATGAAGAGTATGTAATAGTAGTTTTGATAGTCATAATTTATTTCTACAGGTGAATTGAATTTGGTTAACCTCTAGGCCTTGTGTGTTTCATTCTCATCGTGTCAATATTTCATAAGCTCCATTTAGTAACAGTTTTATATACAAGTGCAGAGGATGCTACACGTTTGAAGAGTGAATCTAATTATTCATTAACAATATTAAATAAAATTACATAGGTATTTTTTTTCCTACAGGTACTGTACAATGGCACCTACTTGGAAAGAATAGTAACTTAACAGCTAAATGTGAAAACTTTTTCTACTAAGGATTTCACATTCAAACAAGATGTTTGGACAAGCTTTCTCTCTACATCAGTAAAGCAGAGTGGAAAATGGGGGATTAGAACTAGTCCAGATATCTTGAGCTTTCATTAATTCAAGTAAAGTTCTGTGTTACTTGTTTGCCTTGTTGCTTGTGGAAATATCTTAAAGAGAGATAATCCAGTAAATATATTTCTGA